TGTCACTAAACTATTAATTTTATATGATGTTAATTTTAGGTAATAGAACTATTAGATATATTGATAAAACAATTAGAAAATGAATCGTGTAAAGATCAATTATTTTTATTGATGTATGAACCTCAAACTGCTGACATTTTATACTGTATTTTAATTGAAAAATCTATTAGTATGTTAGCAAAACATAGAGTTTTAAAGGTATTTTTAGTTTTTTAAGTATTTGCATTTTGTTTTATTAAAATGATAAATTAGTACTTAAACACACACACACACATATATATATATATTTATTTTTAGCTTTTATCAATAATACTTAAAACAAAGTATGTATATGAAAGACAGAAGTGTAATTTACGATTACAAAACACTGGTTATGGGTTGTATCCTGGTCTTATATCAATGCTACCAGATTTTCAAAATTTATCAATGGAAGTCACTTTAATGATGTTTGATCAGGTTTTATTAACAGGTATGTGTTTAAATCTAATTTATGGGTGCTTAATACTATACATGATTCAATTGTTTTGTATTTTTCTAAATTTTTAGATTCAACGTGTACTTATCCAGCAATTTTATCAATTCTTCATCGTCTAGCCTATGAGGATATTGAAATAAAACTTGAAGTAGCTCGAAAGTTATTAGCAATGATTTACATGAATCCAAATGCAGCTAAAGCATTTGCTAAACAATCTGGTTGGCAAGATTGTGTAACGCGGCTTTTAGTACATCGATTAGCTGAAGGGAAGACATCACATAACAAAGATCTAATGAGCTTCGAAGAAAATGATGTTGAAAAAGTTTACAAGAAATTAACAAGATGGAGTTCATATCCCAATATTTTAAAAGCTAAACATTTATCTTTAAAAAAATGGAATTCTATGTTTGAACTTAAAGAAGAATTTTCTAATAAAACAATTTGTGAAAGTTCCATATCAGCAGTAAAAAATTTTACAGATGCTGCTAATTTTATTGAAAATGAAATAAAAGGTAGTTATTACTTATTTTAAATAAGTCATTTTTTATTAAACAGTTTGACAAATTATGTAGATAATAATGTATAATTTATAATAATAATTTTAGTTATTTACTCAATGACAAGGTACATTACATCTATTGTACAGCAGAATGGTTACCTACTTTCCACTCCTCTCCTTTTTATTCATAAAATGTATTATATAATATTAGGTTTTTTATTTTGATATTAAAATTATTAAATAATAATAATTCAAACTATTTATGCTACAGCTGTTTAACTTTTCACATTTTTTTTACAATTAATCTAACAAAAAAATGCATTTGAATTTTAAATGGCTCACATTCAGTACATTTTAATTTTAAAGCCCTAGTTGTTGAGTTAAAATAATTAAAAAAAATAAAGTTAACCATTTAAAGTACAATTTTTATTTGATATTATTATTGAAAAATTGTATCTTGTAATGACGATGCATATATCTGAAGAGTTAAAACTTTGAAATTGTATTTTTATCATCTAAATAACCCTTTCATTCAATATTAAGTAAATTTGCTGATGAATCGAATACTTATTTAATTAGTGAATATTGAACACACATTATTCAAATCAATAATATTAATATTTATTTAGGTGTGGCCGGATCTGTGTCTGCAGTTGTTGCTGATAATCTTCAGTATGCTTCAGAAAATTTAAGTTCTGCTGTGAATACGGTTGGTTTGGTTGTTAGTGACAATATTCAAATTGCATCTGATAATCTAGCACAGGCCATGAACAGTGTTAGTGGTAATATTCACTCAGCTACTAGTAATTTATCATTTGCTGTTACATCAGCATACTCAATGTTTAAACAAAAAACCACTGAAATTCAAGTAAAATAATTGAAATTTTTTATTTTAGTTATATAATAACTATAATTTTTAATATATTATGTCAATTATTAAGGAGATGGGAGAAAGTGCAAAAGAACAAATAAAAAAGTATACAATGTATTCACCTCATTCTGATAAAAATACTATTGATGAAGATAAAGCTCAATTAATGACAAGACAATTATTAGTTGAGTTGGGTCTTGATATAGATTCCTACAGTATGAGTAATAGGTATGTCTTAAAAAATATATGATTTAGATATCTGATAATTATTTTTGAAAATGAGTATGAAAAATAAAAAGACACATATTAGGAGCATAAATTATTTTATTTTTGTTATTTTTTTTTTTTAAATTAAATTAATTAGCACAACAACAAAGTTAATATTTATTTTCTATTTTGTTTGGAATATAATATAATTTATGAATTTGATTAAAACTCATTTTTTTCTGTATAAAATAAAATATAATATATTATAATTAAATAAATTTTAAAATATATTCTTTTAGAAAAATACATATTGTAAAATTTCTTATTTTGTGTAGTTATTTATACATTTTTATAAGTTTATATTTATTAACTGATTATTTTTTAGATCTATTTCTAGTAGTCTTGAAGATATATCATCAATAAAATCTTCTATTGCACCAGATAATCGTTCGATTAGTTCTGGAATTGTCATGTCTGATAATGCATCAACAGTTTGTGAAGATGTTGGAAGTAGTGATCAGAATGATTTTGATACTATTAAGTAAATATTTTATACCTAGCCTTAATTATAAGTTTATTAAAATCTAATAAATTAAGATTATAATTGAATATCCATCAGTTTATTTGTCTGAATTTCATTTAGTAGATACAAAATATTAGATACAATAAAGATTTTAATGTCAATGTATTTTTATCTTTAATTATATAGACATAAAATTAGTAAAATTGTATTTTGTTAATTTTAAATATAAACATTCATTTTTAACTATAGAATAAGAAATCACAATTGCTGAAGTTGAATAAAATACTTAAGTATAGTAAATTAAATACATATTTTAAACAGTATATTTTGTTAAATTTATAGTAAAATTAATTTGTAATGAAATATTAGTTTCTTATACTTTTTGTGTCACGTTTTATATTATGTCATTTTATCATATGATTATTTCATGGTGTAATATAACCATTTTTATTTCAAAATATTGATTATAATTTTAAAACAATTTATAAGTATTATGAGTACTGATATACTAATATCATATAACTAAATCCATTTCTAAATTAGCATTTTAATGTTAATAATATTATACATATAGATTAGATTAGATTAGATTAAAATATCTATCTAGAAAAATATGAAATTTATAACTATTATTAAATGTATATCATATTTTATGTTTGATAGTCCCTGGCAAGAACTTTCTAGTGGTAAAACAGAGAATAAAGAAAATGATTTATGTTCATTGGTAGAAAATATTCTTTTTGTTGTCATGTGGCGAGGAGTCAATATTCATAGCAAAAATTGTTGGAAGGTAATTTTAATGTAAGAATAATGTGAAAATACAATTGTAATGGTTTTAATTTTTTTAGGAACGTGGTCAAGTTATGGCATGCATAAATATGCTAAGTTTAAACAATATGCTATATTGTTCACATTTAGAACTAAAGTTACATATTTTAGAAAAAGCTGTTGAAGCCGTATTAAGCGACCTTCATGATTCTGGATCTACTGTTGATGATCATGCTAAGATGGAAAACATTGGTCAGTTAATAGGTTTGGTGTATGATTTAGTTGTATTGGATCCAAGTCCAAACTTTGACAAAAAGTGTTCAGTAAAATTACTTGATGGTTGTATAAAATTAATAGAACAATTAGCTATATTTGGAGATAATCAAGAACAGTATAACAAAGATATTGCTATGAAGACATATGGTAAGAATTTCTACAATATACCAATAATATACATAGCTATTTGTTAATTTGAATTGATAGTATTTATATTTATTGTTTTCATAAAAATATGATATAATAAGATATCTGAATTGAACTTACCTTTATGTATTAAACTGCATTTTTTTGTTGTAATTTTATTATTTTTATGAAAAGGACTTTTGTTAAGCTGTTCATCAAGTCCTAATATGGAAATTTGTGCTATGGCAACAGTTAAGTTGCATACTATACTACAAACAAGTAATAAAAGTGTTATAGAAGTTGAATGCTATTTATTACGCTCAGCAAATAGTATTTTACAAAAAGCAATTAAAGGTATGTTAAATATAAAGCTTTAAACAAAAAATATAGTTGATTAAGTTAAAATAAATTTTTTATGTTTTAGACGACAATATGGAACGCTATTCTTTTATTTTACCATTAATAAAAACTCTCATTACTAAATTGTCTGAACCATTAAATATTTCTAACTCGCAACTTCCAAATTTAACTGAAGTCTTGTACAGTGGACAGTTTTATGACAGATTTTTACCATACTGTTCTACAGAAGAATGGATAATTTTTATTGAAACTAAGGTAAGATTATTAAATGCTTTAACTTTTCAATTTTTTTTTTAATATTATTTGGTCTATTAAATTGATTTTACTTAGTTAAATATACTGGTATAACATAACTAGTAAGTTAATTTATTTATTATGATATAATGTTGAGAAACTCATTTTTGATGGTATAATGCGTATATACATGTACGTAAATGGTACGTTATATTTATTTATATTATAATACATAGCCTAAACATATATGTTCATTTTTGAATTATGCAGTGGTTATGATGTACTGCGTTGAAATATTTTCAGTACCAAAATGATTATTTTATAAAGAGTATAATTCATCAAGATTTTAAAATTATAAATATTTGGTGATAATAATTTAATAGATAATATTTCTTGTATTTATTATAATATAAATTAAATTATAGTCTTACATACTAAATACAAAGTAAAAAAACCACACATTTTTACATTTAAATATAAAAAGTGTGTTTTTATCACAATTTCTTCTCTATATTACATTGGTGCTCTTTAATATTTATGGTGATTACATTATAATGTATTAATTTTTAAATTAATTTTACCTTATGTTTAAAATAACAAAAAAAAAGTACATAGGTAAAATATTTATATTTAAATATGGTATATATTTATACATCTAAATTTTAATATTTAATTAATTACTTTATAATTTAACTGACTCACCATTGAATATTGGCAAAAATTGGGTTATTTTATAATATTCATACTACAATATTCTTCAAGTAATAAAACTTGAGAGTTTTGCATTATTATATTGCATATTTTACAACAGTTAAACACGTTAACATAAAAGTATATTGTAAAGTTTTGTAAATTTATCATCATAGACTTTCAGTGATTTTCCATTGATTGTCTGAATAAGTATGAGCACTTGCATTTTGTTCAGAATTATATTCATTATTTCTATGATTAATTGGAGAATTATCACTTAGTGAAGTAAGGCTATCGTTTACTTGAGAAGGCGATTCTTCGTAGTTAAAACTAAAAGTCTTTGTAGGTGCCTGAAAACCTACTTCTGGCTTTTGTGTACTTTTGGCTATATATTTTAAGTACGCATTTAGTTTGTCATTTACAATTACTTTTTTCCCCTTCAGTTTTTCATCTAAATTTGAAGACGACACGCTATCAGTACTTTCTAAAGATTCTTTATGACGCCTTTGTAATATATTTGATGGTGGCGTTGTTTGTGTATCTGGACTCTGAGTGTTATATTGTGAGCTGACTATATTAAACGAGTCTTCTGATGACTGACTTGAATCTCTTTTATTAGTTGGTTCTCCGTATGAGTTAATCGTTGTTTGTTGAGAATTTTCTGGATATGAGACTGAGTTTGATATACTGCTATAAGAGCCTTGAATGTCTCCATTGCCTTTAGGCAAACCATAGGTAATTGAAGGAATTGGTGCACTAAATTGAGTGCGGGAATTAAATAAATTTCCTATATTAAATGAATCTAAGTTATTACTATGAGAAGATGAACCAAACGAACTATATGATCCAGATGTTTGGGCTCCATAAGATGATGATGGTGTATTTGATGGCGCTCCATATGAAGATGAAGGACCATTGGAAGGTGCTCCATATGCAGTTGATGGGGCAGGAAGTGAAACAGAAGGAGTTATTGAAATTGAATGAGAAGATGATGGTGCATTATAGTTATTTGTTGGTATTCCATAAGATGTGGCTGGTGGTGATGGTGCTCCATAAGAAGACGATGGTTGTGCGGGAGCGCCGTATGAAGACGATGGAGATGGTGCTCCATATGACGATGAAGGCTGTGATGGGGCACCGTAAGACGATGATGGTTGTGATGGTGCACCATATGACGATGAAGGCTGTGATGGGGCACCGTAAGACGACGATGGTTG